ATAAATCACTTTATAATAATGTAATTCATATTGACGATATCCAATACATGTAAATTTAAACACTGGTCGTTCTGATTTATCGGTATTAAAGAAAGCACCCTAGAGAGCCGTGAAAGGAAAACAGTCATCAATGGCCGTTGTACTTGGGAATTGTTACTAATAAGCCATACGATTGCTTTATATATCGTTTAAGAATAATGATCAATTAAAAACGTTGTACTTTATATAGTAAATGAATATTCTGCACGAAATTGACACATTAACATAAAATACACTCGGTGCCTATAAATAGACTATTATACTAAAAAGCGCGTCAAGTAAATTGTGAAATGGAAATAAATTGTTATTGTCATGATATACAGCTGGCGGTAGTTTTTACTTTGATGTCCATAGCAGTTATATCTCATAACAACCTGTCATGACATCATCATAGGTTGATATATTCGTTCATATCAACCGCTGATGACGTCATGACAGGTTGATATTTCATATCAACCGCTAATGACGTCATCTCAGGTCAATATATTCGGCTCATATCAACCGCTGATGACGTAGATGATCGAAATAATACAAAAAAAACCACAGAAATAAATGTTTATTCTTTTGACAATTAAAATTTGTTATGGTACAGTTTCTAACATTCAGGACCGAAGGAGACGGCGTACTTATCGACATACATGTATTTAGATCGGTTATCCATGTCTAAGACATCTTTCAGAATTTTCTTTTCGTCCACATTGCGATTATTTCTCCACGCACTACAAGCCTTGAAAGTATTTATCGCCCAAGAGTTCCTTTGTAAAGTATTTTTGGGTACAGTCCACTTAAAACAGTCGGTCAAATCCTTCTCTGGACGTAGTGAAAACCTCCAATCATGGTTCACTGTCAGAATTCTTGGAAAAGAATGCATTTTGGTCCAAATTTTCTGCAGGCTTTGGATAGATCCTCGTCGATATTTGCATTCACATTCCATCGTCAATATGTTCGCTAAAAAGGATTGATTATTCGTCTGACTTCGTAATATACTATCCATTTATCCATTTTGTTTTTGCTTTCAATTCAATAGTCCAAAATGGCGACGTATAAACAAAAACATGCACGTAATTGCACGTGATTACTTCGGTAAATTTCGCTATTTGGCGGAAACTATCGAGCAATTATCCAATCGTTGTTGCCTTTTAATGGAAGAGCCCATTAAATTTAAGGGTGAAATGGCGTTGTATATGTCGGATATAAACCTACTCTCCCTCGGGTAGGTTAATATCCTATACTTACACCATACTACATATATAAAGTTCTTGCACCAATATGACATCAGCTTTGGTGAACAATAGTGGTAAAGTACCACAACCTTGACACAAACCTGTTTAGAACATAGTTCACGAGAAATATTGTGTTGTTATTGATGAACAATAACTAGAGACAACTGAACAGCTGTAAAGATTACAGTCTGATTTAACTGATTATATCTAATAAAATAAAACAGATGATCACATCTATGATAAAAGTTGATTATCGTTGCTAAAGTAGAAATTAATCTAGTGTGATTTATATCGATGTAATACCTTTGAAGTGTGTTTTAATATCTTGTTCGATTAACAATCAGGCGTCCAATCTATATTTATACGATATTAGCAAATAGTTATGTTAAATTAAGTGTAAATAATTTAATTAAATCAACCTGTCCATAATTTCATATTTATTGTATCGGACGTTAAATCTGTAATAAACAACAACAATCTGGTTAAAACACAGATCCTATTTCGTTTCGTTTTTATAGTTCAAAATTTCGTTTTACTTGTCTTTACTACACTTGTAGTATAAAAAAACGAAACGAAATATAGATCTGTATTTTAATCAGATTGAATCGCCAGCAACATTGTTGATTCCGCCAATATAATATTATCCAACGGAAAGGAAGTTTGGGCGAGTTTGATATTCACAAACAATAATTATTACTTTCAAATAAACCGTATTTATATGTTTGTCATATATAGGTTATTTGTTTTGTTTGTATTTTTCTTTGGTGTAAACACTTAGAATGTATATATACTAGGTTTTAATCATGGTTGAAATAAACATTGTACTGATCTCACACAAAAAATAAAAAAAAAGTACCATAATTAATAAGATAATGTTTATAAACAGACACTCCAAATCATGGTCATGTCATTATGGGTATTATTTTAAAATAACAAGCAACTGAAAAAAGAAATTCTGAACCGCACAAGCCAGTTATAGATTAAAATGTCTACTAGTCCTGTTGTAAAGAGCCGCATGGTATCTCTATCTAAAATGCATTTTATGCCGTCGCCCGTCCGTCCGCCCACAATTTGTTTGTGGACACTCTACAGGTCACAATTTTTATACGCCTACATTGAAATGTGGTCGTTGTGGACGCTCTAGAGGCCAAAGCTAATATCCGATTAAATTTATACACAGTGTTTAAGGTCATGAGACGAAGAACCCTATTGATTTTCAGCGATTTCCGATAATGACTTCCAGAGTTATGGTCCTTGATCACTTAAAAAAATCTTGTGGACGTATTTTTAGCTTGTGGACCCGCTAGAAATCACAATTTTTATTCAATTTAAAAAAAAACCGTTGTGGACACTCTAGAAATCACAATTTTTATCCGATTTTGATGAAACTTGAAATGTATGTTTATAGTCAAACGATCGTGTATCCTTTTGATATTTGCGCATATCGGACCGCAACGTCCTGGGTTATGACCCCTGAAAAATCACGTTTTTAGCTAGACGTCACAATTTTTATCCAGTGTTTAAAAAAAACCTTTAGAATTTATCACAGTTACACTCTAATGACAATTGAGTTCAAATTTGGTTAAAATCGGACCAAAACTGCCTGGCAAAATGGCGGCTCTTTGTACTCAAATAGGGTAAAAGTATGTCATACCAAGGTTGTGGATCTTCTAGAACTTAGAAGTGACAATTGTAATCAGATTTTGAGGAAACCTAAAATATACAGTATGTTTATGCCCCAAAGATCTCGGATCCTTTCGCTATTAGCGCATATCAGACCGTAACTTCCTGGATTATGGCCCCTGACTGTACGAAAAATCGTGTTTTTTTTTAGCTTGTTACAATTTTTTTATCTGATTTTAAAAACTGTTTAAATATGCCACCATTCCATGATAATGAAGGCTGAATTCGAATTTCGGGAAAATCGAAATGAAACTGCCCGACAAATTGGCTGCTCTTTGTACGCAAATTCTGTAAAAGTATGTAACACGAAAGTTGTAGGCCCTCTAGAGGTCACAATTTTTATCCGATTTTGATGAAACTTAAAATATATCTTTATATCCCAAAGATCTCAGTCCCTTTTGATATTTGCGCATTTCAGCCCATAACTTTCTGGATTATGGACCCTGATTGTACAAAAAATCGCTTTTGTTTTTAACCACCCATCTCTTGCAGTGTGGGCGTATCTTGCCTGGCAACCGCTGGTTAGATTCTGATTTGGATCAAATAAATTGTACAAGTCAAAAGAACTGTTTTACAAGCAATCGAAATAAAGAAGGAATTCGAAAGTCCCTTTAATTTGATTTGAATAATAAATGGTAACACTTAACATGAAGGACTCAAAAAAGACGTTCTATCTATATTCGAGGTAACCGGGGACCATTGCTGATTGTGTAGTGTTAACATTTAAGTATGAAGCCGGATGTTTTAATAATTTCAGTAATACATGTATAATGTAATAGTTGTGGTTCACCCATGTCACAATCTTATTCAAGGATTAATAATACACAGACAGGAAATTAATAAAAACATAACTATAGTGATGCCTTAACTAGGTGTTGCAATTTACAACGTGCACTTGACCTAGTTCAATAATTAAACATTACTTACAACGGAATGAAAACATAAAATATTGACATGGCTTGTCAAATAAGATTGATTTTATTCTATATAACAAGGTATAAATGTAGTCTATGTAGAAAACAAGAACGTTCATATGAAACAGCACGATCCAGTGTTGACATGATTTGTGTCGTGAGTAGAGTATTGATCTATCACATCATTTTCGTCAACCAGGAATACTAGGTTGGTCAATTACAATCCCAGGAGACAGTACCCCGAGGGTTATGAATACAAAGCATAAAACTAAGATTCGTGCCTGCTATCCAGTAAAAGTTATCACCGATTGACTTGAAATTGATACAGTGTTTATGTTCAGAAGACGAAGGCGCCTATTAATTTTAAAGGATTTCCGACAACTCGACCAGCTAAACTTACCTTATGATTACCGGCACACGTTTTGTTCTACTTAACACCAGGCAGAACTAGACGCCTATCAGTTATTTCATGGGTTGTGCTGTAGCCCTTGATCAGCTTGTGGGTCCTGTAAATGCTTCTACTACCCAGCAACGAATAAACTTGTGACGACCTCTACGGGCTTCAGGGGCGACTTAGCTGTGGTAGGCGCATGTTTCGATGCCTGGCAACCCATATTAGTAATTTCCTATTATTCTGTAATTTTATACAGGAATTGGTCTTATTGATAGATTAATTGTAGAGAAGCTATAATTTTGTTGAATTTGCTGAACTCCGTAATACATAATGAGCTTATATAAACCAGTGTAAAATTAAATGTGTTTTCAACTTGGTTCTCCCTTGCCGTACATGACGGGAGGTCTATCACGGAACAGTGTCTAGTGGTTCGGGTGGTATGAAAAAAAGTTGGTGTGCACGTTATAGAACCCTTGACAGTTGGAATTCGACGAAAAGTAGGCAGAAACGTCGCTTTCCGAGCAAAAATTCCTTCAAAGCACACTGTATGTGTATGGCACATACCCGCCCTCATTAACCAGGTTGGAGAAGAAGTAAGTCGTTAAACCTCATTACATTTCATTTAAATGTTATCTGGAATCGAAATATAGATGGTATGTGATGATGATAACGGCCTTTTCAGTCTGCTGGTCCACGCTAGAAGAAGTCATCAACCCAAGCTAGCTAAATGAATTACGTGCTTCTTCAATAAGTCAGTGAATCTAGCTATCGTCTGTATTGGTAATACTGCAGGTTTATGATGAGAGAAACACGGCAAGTGTTCGTATAGCCAAAGTTTGATTTAGTGCTTCCTCTAGTGTATTTTAAGATTTTGTCAGAGCAACCTTGTGATTACATCTTGTACCTATATTTGATATATGTACACTGTTTTAGCTGTTATGTGTTAGATCTGTACACGGTAAGACATATATTTTAACTTTTCATTAGGCATCATTAAATGAGTTGTTATTCAGAGATAAAGTCTTATTGTGCTATTTCAAAGCAAATTGTTGAAATTATTTAGATATGTAACCCTATACATGTACTTTGTATAGAAACCTTTGAAGATTATAATTGTATGAATCATTCGAAGAAGAGATTAGATTAGACTTCGGAGTAGACTATTGCCTAACTATTGGCAAATCGTAGGTCGCGAGAAAGGCAGGCGGGGATTTTATTGTGAGGATACAGGAAGCACCTATATTTTCTTTTGAAGATGTTAATGCTTGAGATGCTTAAAATTGTATTTTATAGTGAGGATACAGGAAGCACCTATATTTTCTTTTGAAGATGTTAATGCTTGAGATGCTTAGAATTGTATCCATAATAAAATATTGGGTTAGGGTGGTCTGTAGGACGACAGTTTGATAATTTGAATTTTATGATTTCCTGATCGAGAAACACCATTTTAAATCCCTACTTCGATCGTTCATACCTGTTTCAGGATGTTCCATTCTGTGAGCTCTAGTGATTCAGAATCTAAAACCTTTAGGGGACACGAAATAAAAAGCCGGAAAATGGTTGTTAATATTACTGCTCACATGTTTAGTTGCCTGGCAACATATATTTCTTCAAAGGTTTCACTAAAATGCCAAAGTTGTGATTTATCCAAATATTATTCAAGTTGGACACAAGACAATGGCACATAAATATGTTCGCTGTTGATGAAACCCACACACTCAGGGCCGGGTTTTGGCACATACGTGACCAATTTCCTCATATTGTGCCCCTCACTAGAAAGGGGTCCCGCAGCTCACCAACTTAAACATTTTCCAGGCAATTTTGCAGCGAGAACTGTAAAATTTGAGCAAATTTTGAAAGATTTTGCAGACAAGAATGAAAGAAAAGTACACTTATAAAAGTTTCACCGTAATATTGTAGACTATTATTGATTAAGGTACCATCATGAATGACAATATTATTAAGAATAAAAATTCAAAACATTAAAACTCCAAATACTTTAACTATACATGTATTAATCAATTACTAATTGTGAAATAAAGTATATGTTGGCCTTACATATGAATGAATATAGGCCTAGTTAAAGTTATTCATATCCTGCAATGTATTAATATCCTATAACTTCGGGCCCCTCAAATTGGGCCCCGCAAACACTGCATGTTGCTCAGAGTGAGCCAAGTTTGATTAAAGTTATTGAGCATGTATAGTATCATTGGTTTGTTAGTTGTCTAAATCTGAAGCAAAGTAAATACATTGTTGATAGCTGGACTCCAAATTGCACATGCCATATGGTTGACTTGCCCCATGCCCACAGTTACTATATGTCAGAAGATTTATCTGAGTTTGTTAACAACGGTTATTTAGCGGTCGGAAGACATCTGTGTATACTGATAGTAACTAAATATACACGTTCTACCAAGGACCTTAATATCATAAGGTCCATGGTTCTACCCATAAAGGTAAACGTTGTTATTGAAACTAGATAGCTTTTGGTTACACCTTGTTAGATAATGTCAGTTGATACTTTCTAATCATATGGATTACAGGATAATTTCCCTGTAATAGTTGATATTTTCAAGGTGTATCAATTCATATATCCAGGCCCGTGGCTAACGGGGGCGAGGGGGGAGTTTCCCGCTGGAAAAATCGAAGGCGCCCTTTCCTTTGGACCCGCTACTAAGCCAACGACCAGCGTGCACATATCAGTATGGACGCCCCATAAATTCGAGTGACATTGGTTGGGCGCCCACGACGAGATAGGTTTTATGGTCGCCTCGCCAAACATGTCGTTATATATCAGGCGCCGCCAAATGGTAGGGCGCCTCATAATGAATCACACGATTAACACCACAACTTGATTGATGGGACGCCCAAAACTGCGTGATCTATGGGTTGCCTTATCCCGGAGGGGCACCCATAATGACATGATTGGTGGGGCGCCAAATAATGAGAATAATAATGATTGTCAGGCTGCACATAATGCATAATGCTGAGTGAGATTGGTTGGGCGCCAACGACTTGATCAAGGGGGTGTCTCATTTCGGAGTGCCGAGAGTGGTGGGCCGTTCGCGACGAGTTCATGGCGCCCATAATATAATTGGCGGGGCGCCCATAATGCCGAGTGAGAATGGTTAGGCACTCTAACCCGATTCCAAACTTTTTCGTTTTGCTCATAAATTATAATAGGTAAGCTAAAGTCGTATTCCTTCCTTCAAATTTTGATAATGTTCAGATGCAAACCCTATTTTCAAAATTTTCCATCAGCGCCCCCAGAAGCCCTTGCCCCACCCCCCCCCACACCATTTTCGGGCTAGCTACGGTGTGACAGTGTGTGATGGTTCCTGGTGTGTGATTACCGTTTAGCGCATGCGTAGTTGTAGGAGTCAGGTCACACCGTTATGGACACGGTGTGCATTGACTCTCCTTGATAGGATTTTCCCTAAGATTTTCTTACGGTAAAATTGGTTTTTACACTATTATCTACCAATATTTACAGTATTACTATCAGGAGAGGGTGTCGAGTTTCTATTGTTTGTTTATTTCGATAAAAAGTAGAAATACAAATTGACTTAGGTGCGGATTCACCAATACAGTGAGCCGTAGTAATTCGCGTTTATAGAAAATTCCCGGCCGCGTGACGTCAGAGCGTTATTTTCCCGCGAGCGTCTTCCGTACATAAAGGGTATCTTTGCAGATACTGAGATTGATATTAAACTATTACAATCCAATTGCTAGTAATACATTTAAATAATGTAATTCAGAATCGTAGATTGGAGTGGGCTATATTCCAGCTGCTGGCCGTCAGATTTCACGCTAAAGTCACGTGACCTGAAACCCTAGTATTGTGAAGTTGTAAAAATTTTAATAAGAAGTACAAAATTAAAATAACAATGATACAGAGAAATCCCAATCATATAAAGTCCAATATTCAGTCTGCAAAATAGGTAATTATTAAAACATAGCTAAAACATCAAAAAGTGTAACGACTAGTCACTTAAAAAAAAAAAACGGCAACAAATCACGAACGATAGAAGTATCAATTTCAAGCCCATCAACTTAGATCTGTTGATTGTGTAACTACTGATCACTAAACCAACCGCTAATCACGATAACAAGTATGTTTATTAATGACAAAACTCTAACCAAATACGTAATACTTTTTCCTGAACTGATCAATGATCAGGAACCATCTCACACCTCTGCAAACGCAAACAACAGTTTCGGACATGCGCAAGTGCCCAGGAGCAAACACACACCGGGAGTCAATTCAAACTGTCACAACGGGCCTGGTATCTTGTGTTAACTGTTTCTACTTTTATTGAATATTGTAACAGGGATACAATTGAAAATGGGATGGTCCCTAAATCACCATAGCCCATTGTTATTAATATTTTTGTCAATTTAGCACAAAGATTATTAGAAATTTTGGTGAGTCATTTATTTCTATTTTGGCACAACGGAATGGAAACATCACTAGTGGGAATCAGTCATCTCAATGTAGCTATTGGTTTGGCTAACGATCGAGGCGAGATTTGGCATAGTAGTAATTGCAATAGCGATATGCTGAAACTGTGTGGGTTTATATATAGATTTCTTGAAGACTTATTTAGACTTTGACTGAACACCTGGTATGCTTTAATCTTCTTCCAAGGAATGCGTTACGGATATTTTCTTTTTAAAAAGAATATCTAAAGTTTAAAGGTGCATGTTGTGAGAACATATAACAAAGTGAATTGAAATCGAAACAGATTAAAACCATATCTTTAATTTATTTCGTCGTTGGTTCAGAACAAGGCTATGTCTTGGCGTTGTCATTAGATCAATGGATTTTTACAGAATGCAAGCAGAACACGACACAATGAATAGACGGAATAGACGGAATTTAAAACGAAAGAAAATGAATTAAGATTGATCGAACACTTAGTTCCTCGGTGTCACTGGTACCATGAAGTGGTTGATTTTTGGATCTATAATCGATAAATACACAAACTAACCGACCAACTGTACATTACGTACACACGGTTTCAGTACTAGTCTCGGTCACCCAAAACCTACTAGTCTTCTCCGTACATAGGGTCTGGGACCGTTGCCAATATTTGACGAAAAGTTTCATAGCCCATGCGTAACCGGGAGTTTGGTTTTTAATTTTGTATAGGTTGATTATCCAGGGTCCTGTTTCTCGAAATCTTAACTAAAGATAAAATCCAAATTTTATTAGATGCTTCAATTTTGATTAGCTAAGCACTAAAATCAATTTAATATTATCCAATCAAATTACTAAAATTTGGATTTTATCTTAGTTAAAATTTCGTGAAACAGGCGCCAGTATTATTTGGCCAAGTCAAGTAAGAGTTGCGCCCCTTCCAGAAATAAATCCCATAATTCATGCATTATTATAAACAAACATGAATCGTGACAAAGACGTCACTGATCGTGACGACGAATTTATATTAAAAAAAAAACAACATAGATATGGCCCATGAAGAAATAAATTTTACAATAACATAATTTAAGTGTTGGATATTGAACGGGCAAAGCAAATGGATTTTCTGAAATGGCAATTCTTAAATTAATTTCATAGGCATCGACATCTTGTTTTAGGACTAGTTACCCCTCTTTGACTTTGTTCCTGATAATGTAAAAGACTGGATAATCTAGCCAATGACCTATTATTCTCAAATATTGACAACCCACCCAGACTAATATTCGTAGAATATTTTTTTCTGGATGACAGAGACTATTTCAATACAAGAAATATATAACATAAAATGACCACGGGTAACTAGCATAATAAATGGACCTATCTGAATTACACATCCGTCTATTAAAGAAAAGCATTAAAACTGAATTGTATGTTACGTTATAGGTTTTAATGACGCTTACTACAGATAAAATATGTGTATAACATGTCATAACTTCAAATTCAATGAATGTAGCTAGTTGTTTTCGGATTTTCTTTTCATTCAAATTTGGTATGAAACATTTGGGTGATGGCGGGATGGGCACTGCTATCCTGTATTCTACGACTTTCTGTTCCAAAGACATATTATGTGTCCGGAAAAGCTTGTGAACACGATAGAGGTCAGATTTCATGAAGGCATCCTTTTAAATTGGCTTTTCAAAGACGTTACTGTATGGCCATCTTTGTTTCGAGAAATATCTGATGTGTGGACGCATATCCATGCTTTGTGTGGCTTGGTTTATGAATGTAAAGTAGTATGTTAGTATCCTGTTTATATATTTTAAGACATTACAGATAGTGTACTTAAAACCTTTTTATCCTGCCGAGAGAGTTTATCGGGATTTTTGGGTGTGGTTTCCCCTTGTTAGTGACGTAGGACTGAGGGCGTAACAAGGACAGCTGTCTAGTCGTTCAAATGGGACGAAAACCCGAGGTCCCGTGTAGTCATTGGCGTGCACGTAAAAGATCCCTCAGCAGTTGGAATTTGATATAAGAATAGGCCATTTCATTTATTTCTTTTTATCCTTTTATATTTTTCAGACCAAGAATCATTATTCACACAAATAGCAGGCAAAATGGCTTCCTTCCGTTCAGAGATTCACATTCCAATCAAAAAGGATGACTTGAATTTCCAAGATAGACAGATACAGAGATGGGGAGATATGGAAACCCAAATGGAACAAAGAAAAAAGCAATGGGAGGGCGAGTTTGAGAAAATGAGGAAAGACTTCTTTACTTTGAAACCTTCAGAGAAATTAGACCAAAATAGACGAGAAAGTGGGCAGTTTGATAGTTTAAAATCTTTTTATGAAGTAGACAGTGACGGTGTAACAAAATTTAAAGTCAGATTTGACGTTAGTGAATTTCAACCCGAGGAAATCCAAGTTAAAATGCACGACAATAAGATAGCAATTAACGCTCGCCACGAGGAGAAAAGTACAGCCTCTCAGATTAGTCGTGAATATAGTCGTCAGGTTGACATCCCCCACGACGTGGATCAGGATAAATTACAATGTTTAATGAGTAGGGATGGTATTCTGTGTGTCGAGGGCCCCCTATTACAACAGTCGATACTAAAACAAACGGTTTTACCAATAAAGTCAGATTCACCCAAATCACTCGAGGTTGGCACACCAGTCAAAAATCCAATTATTACCGATGCAGATGGTACTCGAAAACTACGACTTCAGGTTGATGTTGGTGAATTTAGCCCTGATGAAATCATTGTTAAGACGATGGAACGGAAGTTAATTGTACATGCCGAACACGAAGAGAAGACACAGGGGCGAACTCTCCATAAAGAATTCAATAAGGAATATGATTTACCAGAAAGTGTTGATCCTAATACAATCACGGCTTATATCGGAGATGATAAGAATTTGACAATAGAAGCTCCTTTAAAAGCCATTCAACGTAAAGCCTACTCCGTTACCCAAAGTCATGACGTACAAAAAGTTGTAGTAAGTAAAGATTCATCAGTAACCATTACTGATGGACGGAATCGACCCATGGTTACAATAAGTGTACACAGACGATGAACACATTCTCAGTATCAAATATGGCGACACTTCCGGTATTTTATCTTTACGAATTGGAGTGTTCTTTTCGATCACACTAAACAAATAATCTATTTAAGTAGACACATATTTAAAACTTTTCACCCTTTGTACACCCGAACGTCCTTGAATTAAATGGAATATATTATATTATTGTGCTTTGAGATTCCATCCTTGTTTTATGTTTTTGCCAAATCAGACAATCTTGACAACATATTCCTAGTGGATAAGTGAATTTTGAATAACTATGATGTGTTTGTGTTGATATAATAAGAAACAATGTTATGTGAGATATCTAATGAAAGTCAATTTGCTTTGTTAAAAAGACAAAAACAACTGTATTGCAGTGCTTGTTTTGAATGTGCATAAAAATAGACTCAAATCAAATGGGTAATGAGCCAAAAGGGGTAATTTTACCATCAGATTAATTTATGTAAATGTGATATTCAAGCCGTTGTGATTATCAAATTTATATCCATGTGTATTTAAATAGCTTTTAGGGGGTGGCCTAAATATAGTATTGTTATAATAACTTAATAGCACGTAAAGCACTAGTTTATTATCCAACTCTAAACCGATATTACTTGACATACTCACCTGACGTATTAAATCTCACCTTGCCAGATTCTCAAACATTTAAATGTTCAAATTGTTACCATTTGTGGGTTGCTATAGGAACATGGTTGCCAAATATTTTAGAAGTGACGTGTATTTGGGATTAAATTAGAGCTCCGAGGAATTGAGTAGTAAAAAATGAAGAAAATCTACCAGGAGTACTTGAACTTATCTAATCTTCTAGAACCTCGGTCGTACATGTGTTCACCATCCTGTTAAAGGCGTCGACAAACTAACAAGGTAGAACTTTGATAGAAAAGAGAATTGGTAGATTGTGGTTACTGTAAGATAAATGTTTCTTGCTGTTCTTGGCAAATTATTGAAGGTCTTTTAATGATTTACAAAATAGACTAAGAAATGAACTCAATGTTACGTAACACCGTCGTGCGTAAGCAAAGGCTGGTGAATAAAAACTTGTTAAACATGCATTATGAAAGAGCTAAATCTGCCTATTGTTGGTTTTTCTTTAGGCTTGAAATGTTATATGAATTATTAAATCGACATTAACTTACCAAGACCTTAATCAACACTCGATGCCATCAAATAGTAGATTCAAATACGTTTTGTGGTGGATGCGATTACCGTAAAAATGGATAATCGAGACATTGTTTATTATCGTAACAACGGTAGTAATGACAATCGAGGCTAGCCTATAATTGTATAGCTAATATCTAGGCTCAGAGTGAAGTATTTTGAATCATATTCTCTTTTCATTATCTATTTTTAACTATTATAGCGAGAAAACGGGCACTGCAAGCTCTTTATCTAATATTACCTGATGCCGCTTTCAGTTATACCCCGCAAAGCTCTAAAAATCAATTAGTGGTGGTTCCAAATGCATATGGTAATTTATAAAGTGGAATAACATTGTGTTGGGCAAAAATATTTTTATTGCAGTAATAGTAAACATAAAGCCTATTTAACTCATTAATACATAGATATAGTAAATACTAATAATTATTTAATACACTAAACAGTTTAATAATGATGTTGATGTAAGCAACAGATTATTGTTGGTAACATGCCGACAGTATTTATGGTAAATATAATTCGAGCCACAACTCTAATACATTCATAATACAACTTGGCGAGTAATAATAATGAAGAGTAAACTTGTGCCAATTGACTCATTAATGTGCATTTACAGGCATACTCCACATGAAGTACATGTCAAGGCAGATACGTACGTGTAGTTTTAAAGGAGACAACCAATCGGTCAACACTGTAGACAAATCCTTTTCGACCAGATATTTTTTTATTTGTTCTTTTAAGGTACATGATGCAATCCATGTTTTCTCAAATCGCCCCCTTCTTTATCAACCCCACGATTTAATGTGTGTTTTAAGTAATTTGAGATGGGGCGGGGGTTAAGATAACGTCGAGTTTGGGTTGATTACCCGAAGATTTTATAAAATTAGACATAAATATCTACCAAGACTCAGTCTTTTTATCTACCTGTATGTATAGGCATTTCTCCTTTCAATATTATCGACTCGACTTGAACATACAATTAGAGTTTAGATAACAATTGCTTCTTTATTTTTGGTGAGTTAAATTGAACATTATAATCAAGTTTCTGTATATCTTTTTGTTAATTTATTTTCACTTAAAGTTTTTTAATCCCTTCAAGCGTCTGTGTATTTTAACTGCATGTATTGAATCTTACCTCGATCTTAACTATCTTTCAATATGTATTATTCTTTTCTTGATACCACTATCTTATCTTCTTTACCCCCATCTTTTTTCCCCAAGATATCTTCACTTTACCTTTCAATCTTTGATAATGATATCTTGACTTTGGTCTTATCTTTATTTATATCTTTATCTTTCTCTCACAGATATCTTTTCTTTATCTATTTTTATTTCATTGATGTCTTCGCTGTATCGATATCTGTCTTTATTTCCTTAAATCTCTACTTTCTCTTTATTAAAATGCCCCTCCTTCCTTGATATCTCTACTCATCTTTAACCCAAACATCTCTCCTTTCTTGATATCTGTATTCACATTGGTCGTATCTTTATCTCAAACATTTCTATTTTCTTGATATCTTTATTCACCTTTATATTGCCAGCCAGTGAATATATCGATACTGCTTTCTAATTTAATGGATAAAGAGCTCTTGCACTATTAACCATCTCTAAATTGAAGAATATAACGTATATATGGATATCAGTATTTATGTATATCTTATGTGTGTATATAGTTGTATAGATGTTGAAAAAGTATTTAAGTTAAGCCAGTTACTTGTTGTTCTTATATTTTAAATTTTGTTTTTGATGTTAGATAATATGTTGTTAAGATATATATGTCAGGCCACGTTATTCTATGTGCAATTTAATACGAATAAAATATTAGAAAGATAGGCGTCATTTGTTCATCTTCACGTTATCAAGTAGTAAACAAGAATGTACTTGATAATTAAATAAATAAATGTATCTCGTTCACCACCAGGATGACCATCGATATTTAGTAAGGCCTTGTAAACTTTTAATTTAGCCACCCATATGACCAAAGAAAAACAAGGAGACCATAATTTGGATGTGAAGTAGGACACACTGCAACTTTTAGCACCAGATTCAAAATAAAGATGGCCACACCAAATGTGGAAATACACCCACCCAGCAGCTATAGAAAGCAGATTGTTTCAATGGCACTTAGTAATTGAGCTGAAATATACAGGTCACGATTCTATGGAATACAATTAATTACTGCTTATTACTGAGCGACGTTTCAACTAGGCTTCTCTAGTCATTATCAAGCAATGATGAAATATGAAAATACATGTATAAAAAGGCAATACATGTATATACGTACACAACAATACTTAGTTAATGCTGACCAACCATGCAGAGATACCCCTTCTAAAGGGAATCTAATTTAATTAAGGACTGTAAGGTTAAACGCCATTGACAACATTCAATACGACCACTTTAATCCTTAATTAAATTAGATTAAATTGTGACCTGTATATAGCAAGTAGTTTGTCCGAATGGAAAACTTGGATGTTGGGTTCGGTATAGGTCCGGAACGGAAGATCGCGAATGCACCACGGTAAATTTGAAAAAATAAAACAGTTACAAATTGGGGGCTCTCGCGTTTTTAAGTAAATTGTTGACGGTCCGACGGACCAGGATCTTGAAATGTGGGCGAATAAAAAACGGTAAACGCGCTTCCTGAAAATAGCATTATTAAGATACCTACAAGATTTATAGATCTCACAGCTATACTCGTCATTCTAGAAATACTTTATCTATTTCTTATTCACTGTGTAAAGAATGTTACTAAATATATCACAGAAAATAATAAGTCTAGATCCAACTACTCATGTAATGCTTGGCCTACTCGTTAATAGCTGCAGTATGCTTTACACCTTTAAAGGTTGTTTTGTTATATATACGCCCACATTTTCATGTGGACGTATATTGCCGTCGCCCCTGTCCGTCCGACCGTCCGTTCACATTTGTTTGTGGACACTATACAGGTTACAATTTTTATCCGATTTTGACGAAACTTGAAATGTAGGTTTATATCCCAAAGATCTCGGTCCCTTTCGATATTGGCATGTGTTGGACCGCAACTTCATGGCCCCTGATTGTACATAAATCACGGTTTTTGCTTGTGGACACTCTAGAGGCCACACTTTTTATCTGATTTTGATGAAACTTGAAATGTATTTTTATAACCCACAGATCTCAGTTCCTTTCGATATTCTCGCATATCGGACCGTAACGTCCTGTATTATGGCCCGTGATTGTACGAAAATCATGTTTTCTTTTAGATTTAGATTATCTGATTTAAGAAAATCTGTTTAATTATATCACCGTTACACACTAATGATGATTGGGATCAAATTTCGTAAAAATCAGACCGAAACCGCTCCTTGTACGCATATAGTGTAAAAGAATGTAACACCAAGGTTGTGGACCCTCTAGAAGTCACAATTTTTATCCGATTTTGATGAAACGTAGAATATATGTTTTTATTCCAAAGATCTCGATTCCTTTCGATATTCGCGCACATCAGACAACTTCCTGAATTATGGCCCCTGATTGTACGAAAAAACACCCTTTTAGCCCTTGAATCCTCTAGAGGTCACAATTTTAATCCGATTTAAAAAAAAAAGTTTATATATATATCACCGTTACACTGTAATGAGGGTTGAGATCGAAATTCCGGTAAATCGAAACGAAACTGCCCAACAAAATGGACGTTCGTTGTACTCAAACTGTGTAAAAGTAAGTACATGTAATACGAAGCTTGTAGGCCATCTAGAGGTCACACTTTTTGTCCGATTTTGATGAAACTTAAAATATATGTGTCTATCCCAAACATCTTACTTCCTTTCGATAATCGCGTATTTCAGACAGTAAATACCTTGATTATAGCCCCTGATTGTACGAAAGATCGCATTCTTTAGATTACACCCCAAGTTTGTATTTCGTGAAACTGCCCGACATAATGGCTGCTACATGTACGAAAATTGTGCAAATGTATGTAACACCAAGGCTGTGGTCCCTCTAGAAGTCACAATATTGTCCGATCTTGATGAAATTTAAAACATATGTTAATATCCAAACGATCTTGGTTCCTTTCGATACTAGGGTTAAGAACCCACGGTCCTACACTGTTTATGTATATTAAATATATTTATTTGAGACCAGTGGAACAACAAATGTTAGTTTGTCGTGTATAATAACATGGTATTTAATCTGGACTTACATCAAGTTCTGTATTGTCTATGAACTATAATATAATCATACTATACTAAGCAGCAAAAGAAACGTCAGGTTGGTATGTTACTCTGAATAGACGCATTGCATAAAACATAAGGCTCCTGTCCAAACACAGAAATGAACGCAGGAAATGTTATCAAAAACGCAACCTGACTTCTGAGATGGTAATGTGTTCTCCATGATTTTCATGTAACTCGTGCTGCACCCCCATACCTGGTTGAATCATTCACACTACAACGTCAGCAGCATGCCACGACACATGGTAGATCAAGGGTTACCACAAGGCGACAAGACCGCCATGTTGTGCGATAGCACGTGCAGAATCCCTTCACACAGGCATCTTGGACAGCCCGTCAGACAGTGGAAACACACGGAAGACCCATCAGCACCGATACAGTGCGCAGAAGTCTCACCAGAGAGAACATCCATTGCCGTAGACCTTACCGTGGACCGATCCTCGCCCCTCGCCATCGACGTGAACGTCTACAGTTTGCCCAACAACACCAGAGCTGGCGACACATCCAATGGAGAAGTGTTCTGTTCACAGATGAGAGTCGGTATTGCGTATCAACTGCAGATGGCAGGACCAGAATATGGCGTCGACGTGGCCAGCGTTATTCTGACCAATGTGTCATGGAACGAGACGCATGGGGAGGTCCAAGCATAATGGTTTGGGGTGGAATCGGCCTGAACCAGAGATTGGGTCCTGTGGTGTTCCAAAATCTTGGTCCAGGGAGAGGAGGCGGCATCACAGCAGTGCGCTACATCGATCAAGCTCTCAGACCCACGTCATACCACATTTCGCACGTCATCGAAACAACGTTTTCCAGCATGACAATATTCGTGCCCAGACCGCCAGAGTTACTCGGGACTTTCTACAGCGGAACGGTGTCAACGTTATGCACTGGCGAGCCCTTAGCCTGGACTTAAACCCGATTGAACATCTTTGGGATGAAATTCAGAGGGGACTTAATAAAGTCGTACCGAGACCAAACACAGCCGATGGGTTGCGTCAGGCTTTTCTGAGAGTGCAGTTCCAGGTGCCAATGGCGTTCATCAATGGTCTGGTCCACTCCATGTACTGACGCTGTGCTGCTGTTATTGACACTCGCGGGGGACACACCAGATACTGATGTATAGACTGTGTACAGACTCTAAACCTTCTCGTAATGTCTTGGAATTGTGATGAATTAATCACCAATGTGTCAACATACTTTTCACAAAAAATTGCTTTGATCCATTTAGTAAGTCGGCGCCTCTCTGATTTTGAAATCGCACTGACGTTTTTTTTTGCTGTTTAGTATATATACAGACGGCCCAAAATGTCAAAATGAGTGGCAAAGAGGTTTCCACCGATATAAATAATACATGAAGTAGAAAAAAAACGAATGACAAAATGAATGTAACACTGTCGGCTTATACGTGTGCATCTGTTTCACAGATATCAGTGGGTGTTCGGGTAAGAATAATCACACCCTGTCTCGTGCACAACTTCTAGCCATGAAAACAAAACCGGCCAAACTTTATGATATGGTAGAAACAACGTAGAAACGAATATCGGTTCCATTTTCCATGAAATAGATTGTCTATAAAGATCATATTCCTGAGGCAATGGCCCGAGAAATCCTTCTCTGGCCATTGCTGGATTGACGTCTGATTCTTGAGCTTTTTAGGGAGTGTGTCTATTCTTCCCATTCAATCAAATTCCTTGTAAGTACAACTGCATGGCTACACATTTGGACAATAATTTAAGGTATTAAAAACGGTGAAAGTATTGTTCGTCTCCAAACAATATTGTAAACATTGTAGACGTTTTGATAGCCTCGTTGGTCACGCAATTAGTTTCTCTGCAATATTCTGCTATGCACTGGTTAATTGGACGTAATAAATTTCGTGAGTCATGACGTAACGTTATGCAAACATATTTTGGGCTCTGTTTAAACCCGATTACGTGTAATCCAGTAGTTCTCAACCTTTTTTTTTGCCAGCGGCACACATTGGAACACATGAAAAAATAGTGACACACCTGGCTAAATATATATGAAAAATATTTGAATTTTGCAAAATAAAAACATGGTAAGTCTGTCAGTATTCAACTGTAGACAGAGACTAGTCATAGACACATAGACAGACTCAAACTAAATAAAGAAAAACACAGCTATGAACAACGGTGAATACTCAATTGGGATCACGTGTTTTTTCGCATTTTCTTAGTGTGCCGTTCAAAATTTTGCAGCACACTAAGGAAGATCTCGCGGCACACTGGTCGAGAATCACGGGTCTAATCAAACGAAACACGGCGAGGAGTATGACACAGATTGGCAATTATGTTGGTTATCATGTATAATAAAATTAGTCATTGGTCTTGTTCTGCATTGTTTACCCAGTGATCTGTTCAAATATACATGGATGTACACCAAATTTGATAAGGATACTTTGCCCTTCGCCAGTACAGTAGTCTGCATATTAATATAGTGTTAACATTGTTATAGACACAGGCCTTCATTTCTACAGTGATTAGTTAAACAGACGCTGAACAGAATGGCCAACACAAGGGCCCCAAAACAATGGTCGTTAACCGAACATGAAACTTTACCATCGTTCGAATCATGGCAGGCGAATATTTTGTAT